TCTCTAGCCCCGGTGTCTGCCTTCACACACCATGTAATTAGCCTAATATATTGTCCATCACATCTTTCTTTTCTTTGTTCCAATCTACAAGTCATGTTCATATGTGTGTTGTATCTTCTCCTATCTTCCCCACCCGTGCTGATTTTTTCCTCAATTTTCATGTCTATAAGGAAGCAGTAATTGATGATCTCTAAAAAGTTGTATGGATTATTAGGAATGATAAATCCGCTATCCATTCTTTTTAAACAATGCTCCCGTTTAATTGTCTGTCTGTGTACTAAACTACCAATAGACTTGAAAACTGACATGACTTTAGCTTTAATAAGTTTTTTACTTTCAATAATTTTCAGTTTTTCAGACATTGTTTATTAATATGAGAGCCGTTGAGAAACTAACAAAATTAAAGAGCTGAGTATAAATAACGGCCATGGCTGAAAATTTGAAATGAGAAATACTACTCAACTCTTAAATAAGTACAATAGTTCAGTTTTCATGTTTGTCGGCCAATATATAACTTTGATTATTAGTACACAGAGTATTTAATTCTAGTGTATTAGTAAAAAAATCAATTTTAGCAAATTTATAATAAGACACATTTAACAATTTATTTGAAAACAATTTATCATTACATTAATATATAAAATGTAATGAAAGAAGTATTAGACTTTATTTTCTATGAAGTGAGTAAGTAAGCATTAGACCTATTTTATATGAAGTATCAACAAAAGAAATTTCTCTTTCGGGGTGAGCTGGCCTAGAAATCTTTCAAGGGTTGTCTGTATGAGTTTTTTCATGGCTCAAAAAAGAGAAGACATATTAGTTTACTCCATTTAAAAGGGTTGTTATTTGTTTTGTTTATAAAAAGGAAATTGCATACTCAAAAGTTTCTAAACAACATCTCTGTGGATATTATTATACACGGAGTACAAATTAAAGAGAAAAGTTGTGTTTAGTTGCCCAATTTCTTCTACAAGTGAGTAATAAAAGTACAATATTGAAATGAGTTTAACCACTTTTTTAATTTGGGATGGAGAGAACAATGGATAAAATGAAATGATAAAATGTAATGACTTTACTCACGTGTTTTTACAAAAAAAATGCTTCTATATTGAAATTAAGTCGAGTAGTTAAATTTGATTAGAAATTCTTTTGTGCTGATATGGAAATAACACATGTAGTATCGATCAAATAAAAAAAAGTATTAACACGAGAATGAGAATTGACTAATACATTGGATATGAGATCTAACAGCTCTAAAAGTGCTAATGGTACATCGAATTAGGTCCAAAATGTAGTGGCAATGACGTGATTTAATGAACTTTTTTTTATCTCCACGTAAAAGCGCAACCTACATTTAGGACTAAAGGTAATGTAGAGAGTTAAAAGTTACATCTTCGTAGTTTTTACGTTAAACAATCTTTTATTGGAATCATAAAACTTACTCCCTCCGTCCTATAAAATTCTTCCAATTTTCCTTTTTGGACTGTCTCAAAAAATTCTTCTCACTTACCGTTTTTGTATAATTTGTGTGCTACACATTCATTTTACTTTTTTCTTACACAACTATAATCATACATTTTCACTTTACTCACATCTCCTTAATATGCGTGCCAAGTCAATGTGGGAAGAATTTTATAGGACGAATGGAGTATTATATACTTGCCTTGAAGTCACTTTGGGATTGTAATCTATATTGCTTAACTTAAAGAAATTTTTACATTTCCTTATCTTAAAATTGACATAATTATCTATATATCCACATGTCTATTTTCATACCATTTTATGCAATATAATATACTACACTACTTCAATCGAATTCAAGATAATAATTGTAAGGTAATCTTATATCCGTGCATCGCACGGGTAAGAATCTAGTATGATTAAAGTTACTACTATAGTCACTACAGTTAAAAGGTCATGTTTTCATATCAATCTTTATTTTAGTCATAATTACGGAATTATTTCAAAAAATTATATGTAAAATACCTAAATTTGTCCTCTACAATGCTAGAAGGATCTATTTGAACATCTTTTTCATAAATTTATACTATCATATTTAAGTATAATTTAAGAGTGGCATAACACACTTTCACATATTTACACCTCCTGTTTTGCCTGTTTACACCGGCAATTCATCTAAAAATTTGCATTTCATATAAATGTAAATTCATCCTATAACTTAGTCATTATAAATATTTACGTTCACTTAATATATATAAACATCCTTGAACTATGTTAAGTCCAACATCCTTGAACTGGGATAATATTTGAACCTGTGACCTCTTCCTTGAGAGTGTCCCAGTGATGTCATCAGACCACAAGTTACTTGACTCTCACGAAGAGCAATTGTGACGCGGAATGTGTGGTTTGATACAATATTGCGGTGAGGTGTGTGCGGTGGATATTATTTGGGAGGGGAGATACAATATGGCCAAATTAATTGTGGGATGTTGTGTGTGGGGGTGAGCGGGCCAAGATCAAAATAAAAGGGTTCGACTCAAATTGGAATTGTTAAAACTATTCTTGAGATAATAAACATTTATAAAAAATACTAAAATAAAAGTACTTTAGAAAAATAAGACTACAATTACTATGCGAAAATTGAGCATAAATTACATAAGTAAAGTAACTACTATAATCACTACACTTAAGAGGTCATGTTGTCATAAATGATCTTTATTTTAGTCATAATTATGTAGTTATTTCAAAAATCATATGCAAAAATATCTAAATTTGCCTTCTACAATAGTCGAAGGACATATTTGAACATTTTCCCATATATTAGTATTTGAGTATAGTTTAAGAATAACATAACACACACTTTCACATATTTGCACACCCCCTGTTTTGTCTGTTTACAAAGGCAATTCGTCTAAACATGCAATTCGTATAAATGTAAGGTCACCATATTACTTAGTCAAAATAAATAATTTCCCTTCAATTAATATATATAAACCTTTGAAAATGAAAAATCTTTGTTACAATCATTTGTGCATCGCGCGTGTGAGATACTAGCAAAACATTTTACTAGAAAGAAGGATTTTAACAAAGCTTAGTGTGGGACAGAAGATGTTAATTCCGAGACATTGCTTAACACCTTCATATGTTAGTTTATCATTGCAATTCCAGATGCGATGATACTCAAAATGACTTATTATGTCATGACTATAAATAAAAGTAAAAAACAATCGTTATCGCATGTTGCTTTGTTGTTGAAAAAACATATTTTAGTCATGATCAACTTTACATGATTGTATTTAGAGTAACCAATCTCCTATCATTAAAAAATCACATTGTACAACGACAGAAGAATGAACATTGAAATAAAAAATGTTGTGTATAAAGAAGTGTTTCATAACATTTAGCATGAAATGTAGTGCGTTTTAAAATTATATTTATACTTCATGAATGCGTGCTATATACTATTTTATGGGGTTATAAAAATTGTATACTACTACGTAATCATTGATAAATCATTTTGAATATGTTTCATTGTACATTAAATTTTAATTTGTACGTGAAATTTCACCAACTGTGTGTCGCACAGATGTTCTACTAGTAAATTTACAGGCACAATGTTACAAAACAATTATGTTGCCGCGCTGGTATGCCGTCCGTAGAGTCCACTCCATGTCAAAAGTTCGAACCCCTCAATAGGAGAATTGTTTATGAAAAAGGGGAGAAGTTAGGTTTTGGGTGGGTGGCATACGGTGGTCTGCTAATCTGCTAGTACGGAGTATTTAATAGACCTGTACAAAAACGGGCCTAACCCCATGTCCATACCTGCCCGTAAGAGCGGGTCTAGCGGAAAACTTAATTTTTTTTTAAAATTATATGATTTTTTTAATATTTTAAAAATAATATTACAACTTTTAAAAAATTGTTAATACACTTATAATATTTATAGGTCTTTCACCACATACAAAAAATACTTACACAAAAATAATAATGACAAACTATATCTAAAATTTAAGCACAAAGTATTATTTTTAAGTACAAAATAGATATTATACTGGTTGGGCTAGTTGTTAAGAACTTAAAATTTAAATTTAAACATAATAAACTCTAAATATGTATAAAGAAAAACTAGTAAATATAAATATACATGTGTATATGTAAATAAATAAATTAGTATATATATATAAATATGTATATTTATATATATTTATATATACTAAATGTAGCGGGCTGGGCTTATCGGCCCGAACGGGCCTACACCCTAACCCAACCCCGCCCATATCTTATTGCGGGCCGGGCCAGGCCTGGCGCGGTGGGTAATATATATATGCCCAAGCCCGCCGATTTGTGCGGGTGGGCCAGGCCAGTTTTGTACAGGTCTAGTATTAAATAAGGATAACAAATAAAATAAAAAAACACGAGAGAGAAAAAGTGTCCTGTTATCTTCAGGTAATTTGGCTTAACTGATTCTTGTTTTTAGAGTAAATGCGTTAAAGGAGTCACGTTCACTCCAAACTTGAGTAAAGGGTTAGCTTTGTAGAAATAGTGAGAACAAATCGGATGTATAATCGGATGTAGTCAATAGATTTGAGTTTTGGTAAACATTTTATTACCATTTGAACACGCTTCACACCAAAGAAACGTCTGAACCATGAGTCTGAGACTGTGAGTCATTTATATCGTGTGTAGAATTTGCTCACAAATAAGACTCGGTCGTGTGTTGAGTTGGATTTTCTTCACTGCCATGTTTTGTGCGGGCACTTAATTTGAGGTATACAAATGGCATTCGCCATTAGGTGTGCGATTCATCGCTGATGGGGCCGGGCCATGGACACACAACATTACAACTTTTGTTACTCACGACAACCATTCTGTACCGGCCGGTCGATCCAAGTAATAAGAAGGGTAAAGGGTTGAACCACAGGCCATTTCCAGTTGATTGTGGATGAAACAAAATCAATTCCAGTCCTAATGCCCATTCGGTCTTTTTCCATACCCAGTTCCGGATCACGGGGTCAGTGATTACAAAAGGTGGAGTGTGTCGCGCAAGTTATTTATAACAATGTCAGGTCACATTGTAGGTCCGTACAATGTTGAACTTCAATCCAATCTATTTATATGAATTATGTTTAAAAAATGGAAGTACTAAAATTGGGTGCTAGAAGCACAAAGTCCGTATACCCCCCACCCCACCCACTCTACAGCTAAGCTAAACTCATCGCCATCATCAATTAAAACAAATAAAAGAAATGCAAGTAAAAAAATCACCTTACACCATTGAATGAGGAGAAAGTCATTGTAGCCTGTGATGTAGCCATCATCATGTTCCCTGACGAAGAGGAATTTCCGGACCCAGTAGATGGTGTAAATAATTTCTCTCTCTTTTGACCCTTAAGACTCATTAGTTCAGTTAACAAGCCCGGTTCCGCAATGACCGAGTCGTCCATGGCTACGTCCCCAGTCAGCATTTTCAGCAGGGTTGACATTGATGGACGGTTCTTCGGCATCGTTTGGGTGCACAAGAGAGCAATTTTTACATATCTACAAGCTTCATCACGGTTGAAGTCTTCTCCTAGTGAAGCATCCACCACCTGAACAACCTCCCCTCTTTGATACAATCTCCAAGCCTACCAATAAATTTATTTCAGCAAGCATTTACATTACATTTGGCAAGACATGCCGCCTTAAGAGATATTTCTAGTTGTACATAAGAGATAAGAATTGATTTTATTACATGCCGCCTTAATTTTGCAACGGCAGTAACTTCACCAATGAGAGGCGGTAAAAAGATGAACGGCGGCCTATAATCATATACTAGTAAATCTTTGGGATTCTTCTCCAGTTTTACTGCTACACAATTTTATTCAAGTGTAAAATTAAGAAAGGATTAGGTAAGGGTGGATTTTGAAGAATTAGGTAAGATTGCTACGGATGAAAATAGTGTATCCAGATAATAATTAGTTACCCTTTCAAGAAGATATTGATCATTAACTGGGAGACGTGTGTTGGTATGGCATCTCCCACTGACAATTTCTAAAAGGAGAACGCCAAAACTATAAACATCCGCTTTCCTGGTCAGTCGGGAAAGCATTGCATACTCCGGGGCCAAATAGCCTCTGCACACACATACAAATGGATATTCAAATGAAACAACAAAAACCATTTCTTAATCCACATATCTTAAAGAACAAAAAAACTATTATTCTGAAAAGCGCAAGGGTCTGGGCAGGTGGTCGGATCAGGAGCCCACAGCGGCAGTGCCCAGGCGGGGGCTATGCAAAGTCTACATGCATTCTTTTAGAGCAGAAATTAAAACAGAACTAAACAGATAGAACTATACATATGATAGGATTAGTTACTTCTACTTCCCTTGGTGTTTGGTCATATTACCAAATGGCTCTCAAGGTTTTTGAAGATTACAAATAAGCCCCCTTAACTAGTTAACTTTCTACAAATGACAGTGAAATATGATAAGATATAATGATATTAGTAGAAACTAGTAAGGATTTTCAGATTAAATTGCACTTAAGATATGCCTTTGATTTTTTCAGTGATCATGATAAATTTCTCGACTGATTAAATGCATTAGAAACGCTGAATTCAATAATAATACACACAAATGCTGCTAATGCTATAAAACTCTAGTCTTTCAGTGACAAAAGTCACTTCAAACTGGCAGAGAGATGATCTATCAGGTATATGAAGAAATTCGAGATGGTGAGTTTGGGCCTAAATTACCACAGTTAGGAAATGCAAGCAAAAGGGATGAGGAACTCTAACTATTATTATTAGTTTCCTTACTAATAAAAGCATTAGCTTCATTTTATTATTAGTAGTAGTCTCATATTGGGATTGATATTTTGTTTTAGTTAATATTATTCCTATTGCCAGTGCTAGTAATAGGTTTACGATAGCTCTAATACTTGTTCACGAGGACTATTGGGACTAGTACGAGAACGTAGGTGCTCCATTCATTAATAATATCATAAAACTTTTGGAGTAACAAGTACTCTTCTCGTGCATCCAAAGTAACCGACCAACACTTTCTCTTCATCTCCCAACCACGCCGTAATAGATCAGCATAGACCATTACAGAGAATCAAATGGATTGAAGTGCATACTCTATTGGAACTAAAGACAACAGGACAGTTCTACTTGACAGGTGGGTTCCATTATGCTCCCTGTCTCCCCAAACAAGCAACATGTGTGTTGATTCAAGACCGTCCAATAAAGAACAGACAGCATGGATTCCAATCCATGGCCCCACCACATTTGCAGACCGTTGGATCTTTGCATCCAAAGGTCCGACATAAATGTTGCTTCGAAGGATGAAGACCACAATAATTCATCCACATTTCATTAGCCTTCCCATCCCACTAATTTCCCAACCAAACACACACAACTCCTCCACGCCCGAATCATGCAACCAAATAAAGGGTCTATGTGTAGCTAAATAGATTTTAGGATATTATTTATACTTTGGAGCAAATATGAAGGGTGTATGTAACCTTTTCCTCCTTTCTGAAACTACAAAAAACACTTACTGAGTGCCGGCAACACGGGTACTGATATGAGTCACATCATTGGGGAAGAGCTTTGCAAGACCAAAATCAGCAATTTTTGGATTGAGGTCGCTGTCAAGAAGAATGTTGCTTGCCTTAATATCTCTATGGACAATCCGAGGTTGTGCTTCTTCATGGAGAAATGCAAGTCCCCGGGCCACACCCATGCATATTTTCACACGGGTCCTCCAATTAAACTGAATGAAGTTGTGCCTCGAACCTATAAACCAATGAAACCCTTGTTTATATGTGTGTGTGCGCGCGCATAGGGGGCGGATCAGGTATATTGTGCAAATATTCGCACGATGCATCTTTACGCTATTTGTTTTGCATATTATCGTTCAAAGTGTTGCATATTATTCTGCAATGAAATAAGCAGTTGCATATTAACATTCAAAGTGTTGCATCCGAAAAGGTTTGGTTTTATTACCAAAATGCCACTGTGCTTCTATAACCTTTAGATCAACACATCGGATCATCAAGATGAGTTTGTAGTTTGTAAATTAGGAGGTGTTTGTATTCGATCCCTTACACACAAACATATAGTTAGGTTCAAACGAGAAAACGATCTTAGGAGAGAAATGATAATTAATCTGGACCCCATTAGATTATGTTATGTGAAAATTGAAGGTGCATTAAGTGAAACTGACGTGTGCATTAAGTGAAAATTGAAATATGCATCACAAAGGGTACGACATAGTGACATTATGTGAAGATGAATTGTGCATTAGCTGAAACTGAAATGTGCAGAATAAAAGGTACAATGCAGTAACATTTTGGTACCTTTTATTCTGCACATTTCAATTTCACCTAATGCACATTTGAGTCTTACCTTTTATTATGCACATTCAATTTCACACAATGCACATTTCAGTTCTACATAAAACCATCCAACGGTCAAGATTCATTTTCATTTCTCTCATGGGAGTCCTTTCTCACTAGAACCGCTCTTATATAAGGTGAGGTTCTAATAGAAAGAGGTGTGTAGGTGAGAAATGAGAAAGAATCTCAATTGTTAGATTCAGCTAAATTGTAGTAAAAGAGCTTCAATATTACACTGAAAATACAATCATGTGTGATGGCATTTTCATAAATAATTTTGAAAAAATTGTGTTACACCCCTCTAGTGCAACATGAAGCTGTTTTAATGCAACATCGTCAAATCCTACTGCAATATGAAACTGTTTTAGTGCAACATTACAAAAATTAAATCCTACTACAACATGAAGTTGTTTTTAGTGCAAAATCGGAAATCCAATGGTTGAGATTCATTCTTATTTCTCACTTGAACCAAAATCTATCTATATATATAGGAAAATATTCATTTAAGGTTGGACCTAAAAGTAACAATTTTAGGTCTCTTTCGGTTGAGGTGCTTCCAAGATGATTTTTTTGATGAAATTTTGTGAGCATGTTCTTCATGAAGTGTATAATATGTATATCAAATTTCAGCTTAAAATTCAATAAGGAAGTCACTTAAATAAAATTTTGAAAATTGAGCAGTTTTTTATACATATAACATGCAGTTGTTTTCAATAATTAAATTAACCGACTTCTCCATTGAATTTTTATCTGAAAATTGTAACTTTTATGCTTACCTTACCTGAACATTGTCCTACATATATATACAGAGAGAGCGGGGAATGATCCTGTCCGGCCGGAGGGACAGAACCCTTCGTCTGTCCGCCGTTTGGGGCAGTTCCTGGTGGAATTTTTTTATAAATTTGTTTGAGCATGTTCCTCATCAAATCTAGCTCATACACAAAAAAATGAGCTAAAAATTCGATCGGGAATGCAGTTAAATAATTTCAGCCAATAAATATATATTGGCGCATTTATCTTCAAAAAATTATTTAACTGCCTTCCCGATCGATTTTTTGGCTGAATTTTTTTGTAGATGAGCTAGACTAGTAGACTTGGTAAGGAACATGCTCAAAAAAATTCATAAAAAATTTCATCGGGAACCGCCCCAAGCGGCAGCTGCCACACAAAGGATCCTGTCCCTCCGGCTGGACAAGATCGTTTCTGTATATACCTGAGTATTGGACTTGCGATGTTACACTAAAGATCTTCATGATGCACTAGGATTTAAATTTTACGATGTTGCACCAAAACTGTTTCCAATTGCATTAGGGATGATGTTACATTAAGGATGTTTTTACTTGGATTGTCTTCAGTTCCAGATCAGACCAGATCAGACTTCCGTAGTTATAAAATACACAGAGACCAGGCATTACCATACTAGACCAGTTCAAACTAGACCAGACTTAAACAAACCAAATCAGACCAAACCAGCAAATTTTAGGCCAAGTAAAAACATCCTAATACAGCTACATGTTGCACTAAAGAGGTGTGACACAGATTTTTCAAAAGTATTTACGAAAATGCCACCGCGCATGGATGCATATTTCAACGCAACATGAAGCTCTTTTATTGCAATATAATCGAATCCGACGACTGAGATTCATTCTAAAATTCTCACCTAAAGGCTTCTTCTTATTGGAAAATCACCATATATATAAAGTATGAGTTTTATGGATTTAGGATTTGAAATATAGGTTTACCTATCAATAAAGAACCTCGAAAATGAAAATTATCACTTGATTACCTTGGTTGAAACCATCAATCTAACACTTCAAAAATCATGAATTTCTTTAATAAAAGAATTACATAAAATAAAAATGAAATGAAGTTCATCATTAAAATTATAATTATGAATTCATAATTTCATTTACTCAAGTCCTAAAGATTGATAGTTTTGATCTTCTTGTTAGATCCTCCATAGATCTTGAATAAAAAACCAAATGAGGGCATAGTGAGAGAGAGAGAAAGAGGAAGAGAAAATCACCAAGAAGAGTTTGAGCGAGGCTATTGTTTTCCATATAGGCATATACTAGCATCCTAGCATCCTCTTCAAGGCAACAACCATACAATTTCACCAAATTTTCATGTTCTAAGCCAGAGATAACAACTATTTCTGTCAAAAATTCTTTAGCACCTTGCTTGGATTCAGCAGAGAGAACTTTAACCGCAGTCAAAGTTCCATCTCTTAGTCGCCCCTAAGAGTCCATATATAAACTTCAGTACCAATACAATATATGAAAAATCTACAGAAACTAAATGAAATTATATTTTAAAATATTCTTTTCTGGTTCCAAGAGTATTAGACAATTCCATCTTTTGGTCCCCGATTTTCAATATATCCACTTATGGTGCATGACCATATATTTCTTGTTACTTTTGGTCCTTCCAGGGTAATTTCTGATTATTTTTCAAGGATGTGGCTGGAAAGGACATGAAGTGCCAAGGAATTCACTGGTCCGCATCAGAAGTGGAAAATATTAAAGTTGGAGGCTGAAAATGAGGATGACCTAATGTTATAAGGCCAAAAATAGACAATTATTGAAGAAAAAGATTAGAATATTATACTTTGTACACAGATCCAAACCCTCCTTTCCCAATCATATTTGAGGGGCTAAAGTCTTCAGTTGCCATCCGCAATTCCCTATAACTGTATATCTTAACATGCTGACAGCTTGAAACTTCTGTACCAATTTCTTAACCAATTTAGAATCTAAATGTGAAGGAAGAACACAAATGAATTGTATTTCTACTTCCAGGATTAAGAACATCATGTTTGAATCAGATTCTTTGTCTTTTTTCTACCTTCTTCAATGTCTATTTGATGCCTTGGGGGAGATGCTATTGTTCCAGAACAGCAACCGAAAAAAGTCATACCACCAGTTTGGAACAATCTTTAATTCACACAGATATCACGGCCTTACAAGATCGATCTAGCTATATAACATAAGAAGACACTAACATTTCAAGTATCAGGTAAATAAGTGTGAAACACATTTGAAATTACAGTTATCATTGTGAATGTTATTGTCAAGCCTTGCTTATCATATAGGGTATAAAAGTGTAAAGGGTAGTTGCAGTTTACTTATTCCAGGGGGGGATTAAAAAGTCCAAGAAAAAGAAAATCCTAAACTACCATGAGAATAATCACAAAAAGATATGAGGAGACAATAATACAGAACAATCACCTAGCTTTATATCCTTTCCTCCCACTCTGCTGAAGTTTTAGTAGATCAGAGAATCTTGCCTCAACTCTCACTTTATCTAACTTATAGTTGAATTTATTAATTAAGAGGCTCAAATCTTAGAAGTTCTTTGTTTTTCAATGTTCAAGTCAATAAAAGAGAAAGGTCAAAACACAGGGATGAATATAATTATCAAAACATTAGAATGTCAGTGGCTGCAGATTAATGCTTGGAGAACAACAGAGGACCCTTGATTACTCAACCACTAAATTACAAAATTCAGACATACCAATCGAAAAAAAACTATTTTTGGCTCATTCGAACATCTAAGATCATCACGGAGTATTTATTAACGATGGCCGAGGATAGAGAGATAATTCGAGAAAGATTCGCCCGATACGGCTCATGCAGCTGGATAATTGAAGGCGGCAACGAGATGCGAAGCAGTGTCGTGAAGAACCGAAGAAATGGTGCTCTCGATTGACTTCACGATATGGAGAATTGACCAAGTCATTACTACAGGCCATCCGAGTTACCACTCCTATTGAAATTTTGAGTTTTTTTCCAGAATTAATGCGATTTAATTAAGTATTTATCGAAATCATGTTTGGTTAAAAGTATTTACGGATGTATTGTTAGACCTAATCCGTGTTAGGCATAGTAGCCAAACGATTTGTCGATTTATAAGTCGCCAACCGGGATGACGACATATAACTCATCAAACCGTTTGACGACTTTTTCCTTGTCAAAACACACCCAAACGTTTTGTTTTTGACCGACACTTATATGGGCCAATCAGGGTCGGTCGGGCACCCCCGATGGCGAAAAGTTTCATTTTTTGTCTTAAATTGATCACGATTATCGCAGTTCACCGTTTGGCGACTTACAGAACACATACAAAACGCAAATTGGTAAAAATGATACAAAACGACACACATGCTCAGAAAGACAGTATAAAAACACGGTATAGACATCCAATATGTATAACCAAACACATCAACACATCATAAACAAATGAAAAAGTACTAATAACACAATATTCATTAGGTTGCAGGTGGAAATACGTAAAAAAAGTAAAGTGTTTCTACAACATTTGGTGTACATGAGTAAGTCCAATAATAAAGACAGACTACAAGTTTTCATGGTCTTCTTGATCGTCTTGATCATGGAGATGTGGCTGTTGATGCATACGCCTACGCCATTGCCATGGTTGAAGAACAACTCTGTCACGCTGAGTCTGAGATGTATAACCCATCAGTGTTGTTGCTGATGATGTCTATGTCATATAATCATGAGAGGGAGTCATACGTATAAGATGTCCATAGTCCACTCAGTCCAACACATCTGAACACAACGAAGCAATGCCCGTCAGAACCTGATCGTACGTATCCACGTCATGCGTATCATTCACTGTGGCAGTCGCTCGCTCATGTAAACGCTGCAAAGCCCGCATCAGAATTGTGAAACATGAATTATAATTATTTTGAAATAAATAAAAATATTAAATAAAGAACATGAAATACTTTAGTAATTAGTAGCACACTCACCGTTAAGTGTAAAGCCATGGAACCAGGCTGGTAATGATGAGTAGGGAGTCTGAAAGAAGGAGAGACAAACAACTGTGTGATGCTGTAATACCATCTCATGTAGTCTATAGAAACAGATGAGAGTAATGTAGGCGTCCCAGTCACAACAAGTTCTACTCGCCTCTCTCATATAGTCACGTATCTGACATGTCTGAACGACCAATCTTCTGTAGGCTTCCCACGTCTATCCAGCTTATGGAGATCTACACATGTGTCGACAAGTGTTGGAATGACCTGCTCATAGTCAAACTACCGCAGTACACGATCTGGCAAATGAAGCTCAACAATGTCAAAACATTTTCAACGGGACACGTGCTCGCCATATATCATATGCTCTCGTCCTGGCGGGGGCAACCCCTCTAACATCTGGGTTGTATATGACATCTATGTAATCTGTTTGAAAAGGCAATAAAATTAGTCTTACTGCTTTTCATATGATAGCTAATGTTATATTATGTACAACAAACCTGATCACCCCACATGCGATCAAATGCATCCATAGAGAAATCGAGTCCAGTAGCCGATGATGCGCGACAAAGATCTGCAAATAGCCATCTAACCACTCATGTAGTATATATTAATATAAATATAATTAATATAATTATTCAGAACATACAATAACATAAATATAATCTTCTAAATAAAACATACCGGCGTCCCAGAGGGTCCTCGACTCCTCGCCCCATTGTGCAAATACCGCCCATCCTCCTCTACAAATTCGAAAATTATCAATTCAAACCCTAAGTTGAAAAATGAGATGAAATTGGGGATTTGATGTACCTAGAGGTTGAAGAAGATGTTTGGGGAGTATCCTTGGTAGGTAGAATGACCTCCTAGTAGCTGTAGTCGCCGGAGTGGGCTGCTGCACTTGCTCTTCGCTGGAGGGTTTTTTGTGCCTGCACTCGTTCTATTTGTTTTTGAAGCTGTCTGTGCACATGTTATTAATAGGGAAAGTCGACAAACCGTTTGGCAATTTATAAGTCGTCATCTCGGGGTTTGGCAACTTTCCCCCCCGGGTTAAGCCCAACAGTATATCCGTAAATTCTTTTAACCCAACATTATTTCGGTAAATACTTAATTAAATCACATTAATCCGGAAAAAACTTTGAAATTTCTGCACAATCATGGAGGTTGTTTTGGTTATTAACTGGATTGAACTTTTTTTGATCCGATTTGTTTGTCAGTTAGGTCAGGTATACAATATGTTTGACACAACTAGTTAAAAATATACTTTTATGAGCTTTTTAGTAACTGTTAGTTTTTAGTAACTGAAAAGATCTTAAAAGAAAAAGATAGCGACCATTTGATAAAAGCTGACTGTTTGATTTAATTATGTTTGATATACAAGCTGTTAAGACTAATTAATGTTAGAAGCTACAGAATTATCTGAGATGTTACTCAATATAGCATCTCAAAAAAGATCTTTTATTTTTATAAAAACTCTTAAAAATTTGCATGTCAAACATAGAACTAGAAACTTTTAAAGATTTTTTAAATAATGTAAAAACTAGATGACATGAATTTATGTCTACCAAACATAACCATAGTCTGAACTATGTATATTTTTATAACTATCCAAATGTGTAATAGTCTCTATGAGTTTAGTTTAGCCTGCAATTGTTTATCTGATTCAACCTGAAATCCAATTTGAAACCCGTCCAAACCTGACATTAATTAAAATTGACATTATTTCATTTAAATATACACAGGATCGGATATTCATAATGTCCATCCCAAACCCGCCCCATATCAGGCCCGTTTCAGTTGCATGCTGCACGTCCAGACCCGGTCAGTTCAAACCCTCTGGACTCCGGTGAGCCCGACCACCATCTATCAGATGCAAGCTGAGGCCATCGCCGCGGAGTGCGTCTCCTTCAACTTCCCGGCAAGTTTTCCAAATCCTAGCGTTCATATTCCGTTGTCATAGGAATGATAGGTTTGTGATTAAGAGTCGGAAGTGATCGGTGAGAAGAGTCACTGGCTGAGAAAACGCTTAACGATCACAGTGTAGAACTTAGGATAGTGAAAATTTCTGATTCAGGTTGGATCAGTATCCTTTTCTTATTCAGATGTGATACTGTTGTGTTGGTCTTCACTTGGTATACTCCGTTTCCATTGCTTCCATGATCTAATATATGTTTGTATATATCTTTACATGTGTTTGAAATGGAGCTGATATTCATTAATGGTACGAAGAATGATGAAACTCGAAGCTGCCAGCTGCGCAAGTATAAAATTGCAATTCTTTTTTAAATTGATTCAGTTTATTCATATACTACAATTTAACAATATAATGAATTAATATATGTTTGTAAAATGATTGCAAATATTAGCTCTACAGTTTTTTAATGAAGCCCTGCAGTTTGTTAATTTACACCTTTCATTAGTATTTTGTCTCTTCAGATATACGGAGTATATCATTTTTAACTTAACATTTTTTGTGGGAAAATTCATTAAATAGGACTAAAACATAGACAAAGTGTACAAATAGGACCACCATTGTTTTCTCACCAAAACAAGGCTCATTCACTCCTAATTGAAGAAGTTTTATACTTCTAATAGGATCAAATAAGGCCTATTTAGGGAATTATGAACATATAGTCCTATTAACGCACTTTGGTTAACTTTTAATCCTATTTAGAGAAATTACTATATTTATAACTCTAATGTCATTGTCGGTTAGCCGGCCCCTAACTCTTTTCGGATTAAGCCTTAGATGTTGTTGTATCAATATTTTGTCTCATACTTTCTTCTAGTGTTTTTTTTCCTGTATCTCGTCCCAGTTTTCTGCTTCCCCATCTCTGTGTTGCACAGATGCTTAATAATTTTATGTGCGATTGCGCGCTATGAGAACATGAAATATCTGAATGATTAAACACTTAAATGTATAGCAGATTAAACTTAGTGTGGCTTTGGTAAGTAGGAACATGTCAGCTATTTTCTATCATAGGAAGAAAAGAAGCATATGGTATCATTGTGTAAAGTTGCACATATGTGGCCCACACAGATTCATAAATTTGGTTTATGTTCTATACTTGAATCATCATCATCCTTATTGGGACTATAATTCCAACTAATAGGTGTCATCGACTTGAAAATTTGAAATTTATAGTTTTATGCTCAGATTGAACTCTGATTTATCATTTATTATTATTCATCATTATCATCGTCATCATTATCAGCACCTTAATCCCAGCGCAACTAGTTGGAATTAGTGGCATCAAATGCATTGTTTAGAGCCTTTGGGTAGGAATTGAAAATATGAAATGACTGAATCGGATAAAGCTGCTGAAGTAATACTTTAAAATGGCTGAATCTGCTGATTTAGATAACTTATTCATATATATGTGTGTGTATGTGCACACTCGTATATATACACATGTATATAATTGGAAAAACATGTGTATACCTTATATACACGTGTATATAATTAGAGTCATTTTCAGCCATTTCAATAACAGTCTCAAATAAGGGCATAAGGAAATGTTAACCATCTATGCACTGTTGTACTAATGATGAATTGATGATTAGAATACTATTTGTGATTTGAAGATACATAAAGTTTTTAAGTATTGATAGAGATCCTTCAATGAGTTACTTGTTGTTGGCTTGTTGAGTATGAAGAATTTACTTTGATGATTTAGAGTATCTACAAAAATCATGAAAAATATTGTCCTTTCTCATTAATGCTTAATCATAAAAATAGCTCTAAAGGCTATGGTTAGACATGACCCTGTAATTAATATCTAAAATTACTCAACACTTCATGCATAAAAAGTGACTTTTGTGCCCCATGCCATTCATTTTGCAAGTTTTTGACGATGGCTGATGGAAGAAATGACAGTTTGGTTTCCATTTTTCTCTAGATGGCTGATGGAAATGATGAAAGCGCTATGGAAGTTGCTTACCAGACAGACACAAATACAGACGAGAAACAAAAGCGGGAGGGGAAGTCGAGATCAGTTGTCTGGCAGCATTTCACGAAGCTCATGAAGGAGGACGGGACATATGAGAAATGCAAGTGCAGCCACTGTAACAAGGTTTTTGCTTGCTCAAGCAGGTCTGGGACCACCAATTTATTACGCCACCTAACTGAGGGTGGCTGCCCGGTCGTGAAGCTCGACAAAAAGGGTTGCTCAGAGCGGAAGGCGGTTTCTTTACCATGGAAGTATGATCATCAAGCACCCATTGAACAGTCAGTTGATACGCATGAGGAGGTATTGCCCGTGGGGATGCCTTATGTTTGCTCAAATGGTGAATTTGTGGGCCCTTCTTATGGTAAAAGTCCCAAGACACCATCTGGGAAGTCTCAAACTAGTGGAGGAGATGCATGGATGAATGAGTTGAAGGCTTGTTTAAGTAGCATCAGTAAACTCATTAATGAGCATCTTCCAAAAGGTACGTGCTTAAAGACTTCACTGGACATAGGTGGTCCTGACACTTCGATATTTACTGCCATAAAGTGTTTGAATGAGATGGAAGACATCCCCCAATCAAGCGCCATGTATCTAGATGCCCTTGACATCCTAAGGGATCCTGAAGAAAGGGAATGTTTTGTCTGTTTGAACCCGGAGCCACGTAGAAGATGGCTTCAGAGGATGTTGCATCGCTATCATCCCTTAAACTATAATGATCACATTTGATGATGTATATATCAAATGTGTAAAACCTGACAAACCGGGGACTGCATAGCTCTTGGAAGGTTGTGAAGTCTTGCTTCTACGGGTTAAGACTTATGAATATCGTCCAAAAAAATAAAACAGGCAATCCCTTTGAACAGATTTCTTTCCCTCACCAGTTCTTGAACTGTTCCTCACCATGACTAGTTAACATATATGAGTATTAGCTTAACAATGCAAAACTGGTGAATCTCATGGATATGCTAATATTTGACGGCTTAGTGCTCTGTAGCAGAATAGCAAACCAAATGTTATTGGAAATGTGAAGAAGTGTTTGCTCTTCATAATTTGCTCGCCCTATTGTCCTTATGTTTTATTGCTTTTCGTTTATTTTAGAAAAAAACAGTTGTTAGTGTGTTGCAAAATAATTATTTTAGTTCAGATATTTAAGCTTATTTTGCATCAAAATCCTTGTAGGGTTAAACTTTGAAGTCGAGAATTGTTTTTTGTCTTTTTTTTCTTTGGAACATTCATACGAATAATCCTAACTATTAGTGCTCTGCCCTCCTATTATTATTAATTAATCCCAAATGTGGATATGTCGTTATAACCTAAACTTGTTCGGAAATCTTTTCTAAACAATTGAAGTAACCAGCGACCTACTAAACATCCTTATAAGGTGCCCATAATTGAGTAATTGGGAAGATGCCTTCGATGCTTCAGCCTACGGCCTACCCTTTCTGCAAAACATTGGAGACCCTTTTTTCCATCAACAAAAGTGCTGCCGTGGGTATTATTTCTTCAGCCTCTAATTGGGAAGATGCCTTCGATGCTTCAGCCTCTCCAGGACCCTCGAACCCAGCAGGAGAGGCCGAGGGACGCCATAGCCGAGAAGGTGGTGAGGAGGCTGAACTCCCGAGCATGGTTGACCCCACGATCGACCTCCGCAACAGAATCAACATCAATGCACCGGATGCTCACATCGGCCTCGAAGGGAGGCACAAAGAAAGGAGTGAGCCCACTCAAGCATCACAAACTACTCAAGCTTCCTTACCCACTTTGCCGCCAGGACAAAAACAAAGAGACACTTCTCCTATCTGTTCTCGGTAAAACAGAGCAGGGATGAGCCACTAAGCAAGTTCCTTGAACGCTGGATCGGGGGCTTCTCGAGGAGCCTTATCATAGACCCCCTCGGGATTATCAGCGGGCACTCCATCACGGGCAGAACTATGCCTTAGCGGAGGAAGTGCACTACCGCAAAAGAGTGCAAGAAAATGCTGTGAAGCCCCCTAAACAGGAGCAAAAGCAACAGGAAAAGCCAAAGCAGCTGCGGGAGGAAAACCCCCGCGATGGTAGCGACAAAAACCGGAGCAGAGGCAACTTCAGAAGCAGACGCCCCTGGAATGGCCCCAAACTTATGTACCTGAGATCCTGACGCCACTAACCCATTCTGTCAGCCACATTCTGGAGGCCGCTGATCAAGAGGGGCTGGTGGTTCGGGACCCGCGGATCAACGAAGTCCAGCCAGGGGATAAGTCGGGCCCCTACTGCAAGTTTCACAGGTTCCATGGTCACACAACAGACGAATGCCATACACTGAAGCTGGAGATTGAGAAACTGATCAGCCGAGGCTACCTGACACGGTTTGTCCGGAAGCCAGGAGCTGGCCAGAAGCGCGGCCATGAGCGCAGATCCAGGGACGAGGAACGAGAACTTGACCGTTTCCCAGAAAGAAGGACATTGGATTGATCTCCGATGATGATTCGGCCGAGGATAACAGGCGCAATCAGCAGTGAAGACTTGAGGTCCGGATGATCGTCAGAGGAAACACAGGCGGTGACACCGCCACACAGAGGAAGAAGTGGAACAATAAACTTTATGTGGGGGAGATCACAAACCCCCCACCTGCTTCCAAGAAGGCAAGGTCAGATGTGATCTCGTTCACCGACCGTGATCTACCGGACTTCCCTTCTCCTCACAGAGATGCTCTGGTGGTGAAATGCGAGGTGGACGTGACCATCATCCACCGCGCCTATGTTGATACCGGTTCTTTTGTCAACATCATGTACATCCAGACGTTCCATGAGTTGGACCTCCACCTCAACTCTCTGAGGCCCATTCGAACTCCCCTCTCCGGATTTACTAGTGACTCCATAGACGCCGAGGGCACTATCGAGCTCACCCTTAGATTCAGGGATGGATCTCATCACTCTAAGATCCCTATGGAGTTCGTGGTGGTGCGAATCGAGTGCGCTCATAATGTCATACTTGGAAGGCCAACAATGGAGGACTTAGAAGCAGTAATCTCTATGCGGCACCTCTGCATGAAATTCCCGACTGAGTCCGGGGTCGGCTATTGCAGAGGAAGCCATAAAATAGCCCGATCTTGCTACATGAAGATGATCAAGCACATGGCTGCCAGAGACATGCGAATCAACACTATCTCCCAGGCTATACTTAAAGAGGAGGAAACTCCCAGAGCCGAACCCGTGGATACACTGGAAACGGTTATCCTAGACCAGGCCAATCCGGAAAGAGCTGTTCAGATCAGGACAAATATGAAGGCAGGGCTGAGGCAAGCAATAATCTCTGTTCTTATTAAATACAAAGTCGTTTTCGCCCTAGGTCCTGATGAAATGCCGAGGATAAGTCGTGACATAATCACGCACAAGCTGACTGTGGATCCCAATGCGACGCCTGTCAAACAGCGCAAGCGGTACCTGTCTACAGACAGGCGGAAATTCGTCAAGGCTGAGGTGACTATGCTCCTTGGCATAAATCATATCGCCGAGGTAGAATACCCAAATTGGCTAGCGAATGTTGTCTTGACATCCAACCCACCAACATTTTGTATGTGCGTCGATTACACCAACCTCAACAAGGCTTGCCCGATGAATCCATTCCCACTGCCGAACATAGATCAATTTGTCGATGAGACAGCCGGCTGTGAGCTCATGAGCTTTCTGGATGCCTTCCGAGGCTATCACCAGATTTTCATGCACGAGTCCGACGCCCAGAAAACAACATTCATGACTCCATAAGGCATTTTCTGCTACCTGGTCATGGCGTTCGGGCTCAAGAACTCAGGCGCCACTACATCGCATGGTGGCCAGGGTCTTTAAAGCTGTGCTCGACAGAACAATGGAAGCATACGTGGATGACATGATAGTCAAAAGCCACAAAGCCAACACACACAGAGGATCTGGAGGAAAATTTCAAAATCATGAACAAGATCAACCTCCGCCTGAACCCCAAGAAGTGCACATTTGCAGTTCAGGAGGGCAAATTCCTGGGCTACATGATAAGCCATCGTGGAATTGAACCAAATCCGGAGAAGGTGCAGGCCATATGTCACGCCCCAGACCGCATCTAAGCGCGTGTACAACCGCCGTGTGATCAAGTGACGTCACTCGCAAGTCAACCTCACTTAATCACACAAGGCATTCATGAGCATTGTTCGCACCATACTGAGTAAGTAAACATACATAACAACATCACATCATAGATTGAATGAATAGCGGAAAATATTCAACGATCAATCATCCTTTTTGCAGAACGTTGAATTTTCTGATTGAATACATAACACTCATGTTGAATGAATAACAACATGAGTTTTATTGTATTTAGCTGATGATACTAGACCAGATGTTGCATTTTCTGTAAATTTATTAGCTAGGTACATCTCATGTCCAACAAGGCATCATTGGAACGAAATGAAACACATATTATGTTATCTCCGTGGTATCGTTGATCTTGGCTTATTCTACAACAAAGATTCACAAGTCACTTTAATCGGATATGCAGATGCTAGATACTTATCAGATTCTCAAAAGGTGAAATAACAAAATCACGCAGAGTTGATTTCCCCTGTATGAAGTTGGAAAACATGTGTGTGGTTGCAATCAATGATTCTACATATCCAAAATTGTGATCTATGAAGATAACATAGCATGATAGCTCAGATTAAAGAAGACTACTTCAAAGGAGATAGAAGGAAGCATGTATCACCAAAGTTTTTCTCTACTCACGATCTAGAGAAAGTAAGGAGAATTAACATTCAATATATCAAACCAAGTGAAATTTCGGTCGATCTCTTCATCAAGCCATTGCCCCCGAAGAAATTTATAGAACTTGTCTAGAAAATAGCCATGCGCCGTCTTCAAAGTTTACTTGAATGAATTGCACTCTTTTCCTTCATCGAGTTTTTGTTCGACTGGATTTTTTTTATAAGGTTTTTAACGAGATAGTACATCCAAATACTATGACATTATAAGTCGTAATCCTTACCCCTTAACTTTGATTTTTCACCCTAATTTTTCACAATAAGTTTTTAACATTACAAATACATATCCAAGGATGAACATTCAAGGGGTTTTGTAAAATTCTGAGAATTACAAGTGTGAATGATTCATCTTGATCATTACGACACCAAGCTAGTCCCAGTCATTAAGCCCAAATCACGATAAATAGGGGTTCATGAACTTCTGGAAATTAATCCAGAAAATATTAATATTAAGAAGAAGAATATCTTGAGCTCATTATAAATATATCTATCTTATAATTTTATTTAAAGTAGTCACATTTTTTAAAAAAGTTAAATTATTTTAGATTGTAAATACTCCCTTCGTTCTTAAATATGAGTCCTCTTAGGCTTTGGCACGTGTTTTAAGAGGAAAATAATAAGGGTAGTGTAAAAGGTATAGTGAGTTGTGGGTAAATAAAAAAGTAGGAAAGAGAAAGGGGCAATGGTAATAAAAGTGGGGGGTATAAAGGTATTTTGATTGAAAAAACTTACCAAAAAGGGAAAGAGAGACAAATAATTAAAAACGTTCAAAAAAGGATTGCGAGACAGTTAATAAAGAACAGAGGGAGTATTAATTTTTAAATCATTCTTAAAGTATTTTTAATACTATTATTGATATTTTTATATTGCCTTTTGTTGTATTATTTTTTTATATGGTTACTTTTTGTTGCCTTTTTGTTTCTTTTTATTTTTTATTGTTTATAGTTTGTTTCTTTGTTATTTGTGTTTCTTGTGATTTTATTATATGCAATTTTGTCACTACACATACATGGTGTCTTTGTAACAAAATAGAAAAATAACTAAAAACATAAATACAAATTTAATAAAAATATTAATAAGCAGGCACTGATCAATATCAACAAAAAGCAACAAGATGCAACAAAAAGCAACACAATAAAACAAAGAGAAGCAAAAAGGAAAAACAGCATACAATATATTTCCTTCGTTCTTTAATAGTTATAACATTATGATTTTTGCACTATTCACAAACCTCACTTTGGCCATAATTTTCTACTAATATATACAATCAAATTATTGTGTATGAAATATTATTA